ACACGACTAGTCCAACAACAAGCTAGATGCCATGTAGCAATAAACCGGGGGAATGAACATACAATCACAAAGCGGAAAGAGCCAAAGAAGGAAGGATATGCAAATGCAACGGCTGCCGCTCGGCGCAGCTCAGCAGAAACGGTTTCAAGGGCTGGGATGGCCGCGCGCGTTCAAAAGTGGGAAGTGGGATCGCGTGGGCAGGCCATCGTCCCGCCTGTCGTGGGATTGTGCGCGTTCGCGCGGACTTCCTCGTGTCGGTAAAGACGCCAGTCGAACTTCACTCTTTGTTTTCATTTTCATTGGCGTGTCTTTCGTCGGATACTCGCTTAATCACCGTATCACCCCCATATCGCTTCGCGTATCCGTTTACATGACCACGAAAAGTCACCCTTGGAAGCAGTGATTTTACTTGGTTACCTTAAATCGATTAGGATTAAATTGGCATCTGATTTGCTTCATTAGTATATTTGATTTCTTCAGAAAAAATTAGACAACCCTTACTTCCAAAGTGAGCATTGCTTACATATTCTACGTAATTATTGCGGCTCATTGTGTAATCTTAATAATAGTACTGAGTGTTGCTCTCGGCTTGAACTGGTGATTATTGTTGTTTAAATAAAATTCCTGTATTAATTTCCTTCATCACTTCACCTGTTTGTTTGTTTTTCCTTCTGTTAGTGTGATGAAAATGTATATTTTTCAACTACTGAATGGCGTTTTGAAATATTTTCTCTAAGTGGATCGTAATGACCTGTGTGAAACGGCGTGGTGATCGGGACATAGTTTGCAGCGTGTCTTTATTGTACTTTTTCGTGAAGAATAGTGTATTTTGTTGTACCACAGTGTCCACCCTGCTAAAACCTCAATTTAATTGCAGTATTGAATAAACAAAAAAAAAATTCAAATGATGTGCTTCCTTTACAACCCTGTCAGATCGGCACTTTTCTACCGATTATGCTCCTCTCTTCTTCTTTCGAAAGGGTCGGAAAGCAGCGCCGCCTGCGGCCCGTTGACAACCCGTTCTAGCCTTGGACAGGCGTCGGATCAACACTTCGTAGAAGACGAGGCCATATTGCTAGATTTTCTACGTCACAAAGTGGAGGCCAGCGCTGGGCACTGATTGGGCGGGAGTACTTGCGCAGCGGGAACTCGTCTCCTCGCTGACCGAACACAGGCCCCGGTCGAAGGTTGACGAAGCCGTGCCCAATTTGTGCACCGCGCTGTCCTCCGGTAGGTGGTGTAGAAAATCTAGCAACGTGACCTTGTTCTCTTGGAGGTGTCGGGTAGACAAGATTTGGGAAGTAATCCGTTGCAAGTAATGTTGTAATTGCGATGTTACTTTCTTCCGGCAGTATTTTGTAATTTTATTTTGTCAGAAAATATTGGTAACGGATCGCTTTAATTACTCGCCACTTTAAAAAAAAAAATTAACATAACACAGAAACTGGAGCAATATGAGTGTGTTAGCAAGCTACACGCACGAGACCCCAGATTTGAGATGTTGCGCCCACGCTTGAAAGGCCCGTTTCAAAAGGGAGATTAATTAGATCGCTTCCTTACCTCCGAACCTCTAAGCGGAAGTAGACGCTGCTATTGAGCATTCACGCCGCTTGCTTTGTCTGCAGAGATTCCAGGTATCAATTCCGGTCGCCGTAAGCTAGCGGGATGGCGGTTGTGGTTGCGACTTTGTCTGCTTACAGGTGTAGGAGGTGCGCCTACATTCTTTCGCTTAAATACAATATTTTATGTTTACAAAGACTACCATAATGCAGGGGTATGAGAAATGGAAAGTATTGTCGCAGAACATTTTGGAAAACATCAAAATTGTTTGTATTTTTTTTCAATTAGTATACGGGAAAGGTGACGTGAAAGTAATTTGTAACGTGACGAGTAATCCCTTACTTCCAACGAAAGTAATTGGTAACGGTAATTCAGTACATTTGAGGATAGGTAATTCGTTATTGTAATCCATTACATTTTTCAAGTAACGGGTAGAAGTCTGGGTCGGTTTTCTATCATGCGGGTCCACCTACGCACGTTTCAGTGAGTCCGCAGCTTAGTAAGAAATGTTATGGCTTGTGTCGTCGGGAGCGCCCTGAAAGGGGGCGTTAACGATAGGTCCAGAAATTACTTCATCCCTAATTGGTGTGAAAAGATGCGTGATACATGCTTTGTTCCAGATTAACTTTTCAAACCGTGTGAGCCAATCAGAGCAATGGGGCAAACCAGGTGACAGTTGGGTACAAAATGAGTTCACTCCAACCACATAATTCTGATTGGCTTGTGGGGTCGTACCTTTCGCTGCTTGACAAGTTGTGATGAAATGGAGCCTATAGGTGCTATTCGAACGGAAAGACTTCTACACCCCGTTTCACTTTAATTGCAGTCGTAGCTACAAGAGCAAGCTCCGGGCTTTCAATGTCTCTGCCAAGGACGCGCGCTCGTGCAGTGCAAACATCGTCCATGGCACCATACTCGTGCTTGTAGCTTCGACATCGCTTGGAACAAAAAGTGAGACAAACTATAGGTACCTGATTGCACCAGGATGAAAATAATTAAAAGATGACAACATTACTCGGAAGCACAATAAAGCATAGTCCAATGACCTAAAATGCATATCGCACATGCATTAGCGTCGTCCGCGACCATACGCGTCGCTGTGGTAGAAGTTCGCGATGGGCGAAACCATAGCTTTCTGTATTATGATAATGCCTGCCCAATTGCCGGTTCACGGTGAGGCAAATCCTGCCAAGCATGGCGAGGGGCGAGGCGAATACTGGCCGTGACATCACGAAATGAAACCATAAAAGGGCGCCACCGAAACATCTCGGCGCTAATCATTTGTAGTCTAACTATCATTTTATTGTGGAGTAAGTTTTAATGAGATGTTACTAGAGGTACGCTCGATGACATTTAATTACTTTGCACACTCGAAGTCGTTTAAGTAGAGAGAAAAGTGATTACAGACACGCAATCCACATATACACTTGTACTGCGGATGCATCTCTTTTTCAGAAATATGTATTTTACGTACAAGTTACATTATTTCTTCGAAGGCACTAGCGCAACATGCAGTGAATCAACTCAGTTATGTCTCTAATTTTGGACTAAACTTGAAAAGCTAGAATTTTTAACTGTATAATCGTTGGGCATGTCAAATGCATTAAAAAGGAAGGTAATTACTCCAACGTCCAGTGATTTTAACATAGCCTGTCCTGTGTTGACTTCGCTTCAAAGGTTCATTGTCTTCATCTTAGTTAAACCTGAACGCTAAACGCGCCGGTAGCTAAGAATAAAAAAATAAAAACGAAACGTTTTAGTCATTTTATATTGATATAAGTTATGAGAAATAGAAATAGTTCATGAACTTGAGCATTAAAATTTTAAAAAAAAATTGAGCAAAGGCGAAGACGAGCTTTACAGCAGCAAATATCATCTAACCGTTCTTCCCCGCCCCCAAACTTCTTTCTTTTTTTGCGTCTTGTTATCTATAGTTCACAAATACAGTTGACAATCATTACTAATGAGGTTGAACGTTTCAAAGCCTATATGGGACTTCATACACGCAAAGCACAATGCCCCCTAAAACTTTGCTTGCGGCACTTTTTGTTGTTGCAAAGGATTTGATTACAGCCTTGTTCGATATGGCATCCCTCTTTCCCTCCCTCTCCTTTTCTTCTTTGGATTTTTATATAGTCAGTTTAACCTTACGATGGACCATAGCGGACCCTATGAGCCATCCTGGCCAATCAGACACTGTGAACGTGTCACGTGATCACGAGCCCCGCCCAGAGGTCACGTGACGTTCAGACGGCATTGGATTGCCTGCGATGGCTCGAAGTGTTCGTTGCGATCCAACTGAAGGTGAAACAGAGTAGCCTAGGCGACCGGTTAGGTTGAATATATTTAACCACTCCCCCTTTAAATATAGGTGGGACACGAGATTGTTTCCCCACCGCCATTAATAACGGCGAAATTTAAAACAAGAATATACCGAAACTGGAGTGAGGGGAAACGAGGGAAATGTGCCTAATTCAGCCGGGCACACGAACATTTCGGTGGGTGTAGAAATTGGGAGACTTCAATACACCCCCTCAGAAGTCAATATTATTATAGGCACTAGACAGTGTGTGCCGTTCTAGCTGTCTTCGCAAGAAAGTTTACATTGTACATATGTACTGTACATTGTTTTGTACTTGTTTTGTATTTCAGACAAGAAAGTCTGAGGGGCTTAGTGCAGAAGAAGACGAAATTGTCTTCTGACGGGATCCTAGCCCCTGGTTACGATACTCAGCAGAAAAAAAAAACAATAAAAAAACCACTCACGAGTATCAACGGGACATCGTACATATACTGAATAATGCGCGTAAACAAACAAGTTGAGATACCAACTGCGGTCAGGACACAATGGTAATAAATTATTAAAAGTTTTTTTAAGTGGGAAATGTTACATAAAAGTGTATCTTTTTAAAATTTTAATTGTTCTGCTGTAGCCGGAAGTTCTCCATCATCTGCCTCTTCCAATATGGCGGCGCGCGGCGTCGGTAGACTTCCTCTGCTGATCGGCTAGTCGCGCCAGGGCGCCTCTTCCCTCTACCGCCCTCTCCCATTCACCGCTCTCTCTCAGCCCCCAAAAGCGCCCGAGAGAAAGTCTGCGCCGACTGAAGATTATCTCAGAAACGTTTTGCTTCGTGTTCTGCCTAAGTGGTCGTAATTCTGCTCGTAACGTACTTCATTACATCGACATTAGCCAAGTCTCGTGCGTTGCGAGGCTCTAACACACTGAAGATTCAATGGGTCTGTAGTACGACAGACGGCCGCGTCGTCTGCTTTCATCCAGAAAAAATGTATCCCAACGTTATTGCTTTTATGTCTGGAAATATTCACAATCAGGGGTTTTGAAAGATTAGGTTTCAGCGCAATACAAACGAAAAGCCCTACCAGTGAAACAATACTGACGCGAAGAAACGCGAACAAGAAACAGAAAAAAAAATACTCACGGCTGCGTCGACGCTGTCCGGTAGGCATAACAGGACAGTCAGGGCGACCAGGAAGAAGGCGACGGTCAACGAAGGTGGTCGGCTTTTGTTATGATCCCTGCCAGCTGCGGGGGACCACCGCATCTTTTTTTCACTTTGGTCCCTCTCTCTTTTTTACTTTGTTTTTTCCACCGCGTTATTTTGGTTTCTTTATAAAAATGATTCTAGGAATGCAGTCGGCGCCTCGGGCTTTCTGTCCAAACGCGCTAACGGTACGAGTTCATGAAAGCTCGCGCATGCGGCACCACTGGCCCCGTATAAAAAATAATGCCTGGAAGCCCGAACGGAGCTGCTGCTGCGGCGGCTCCTCACAGCTTCAGCGATGGGCCACCATGGTTTCGCCGCGAGTGATGCCTAGCGTTTCCTCCACGGAGCTCTCAAGCACGTGGGATCTTGGGAGGAGTCCGCCTCCTTGCCCTCTTCATCCCCCCTCCCTCGTGCGGGCCGCTTCACTAACGTTCTTCCTCCGCGGCATCCGAGGGGAACTATTTTTTCGGGGGCGGTGATGGAGGTCTTCTGCCAGCCAGCTGGTCCGCGCGCTCCTCTGTGGTTTCGGTTTCTTTTTCTTCTTGGTTGCGCGAGATGCCTTTCACTTCATTTTTTTATTATTGCTTTTGGACGCCGATTTTGCGGGGCTGCGGGTAGTGTAGTCTTTCAAAGAGAGGAACTGGTAGGAGGGGGGAGGGGTTTCTAACGTTTAGCAGACGTGGAGTAAAAAGTTTCATTGAAGAAACTGCGTGGTGTTCCTTATCCCCCTTCCGCCCCCTCGGGGTCCGGGTTCTGGCCTTGACTGTTTGTGAAGGAATCAGCCGCCGCCCGTCGCTGCTCGGCCCTGAGTAGATACGATAAAAAGAAACGCTGACAGTAGTGTGCCAATGTGGAATGGATACTGCTGGCCCGTGACCTTCATGGCTTGCACTACGTGATACTGGGTGTGGGAGATCCGCTAAGGTCAGCTGCCCACGCTTGACTGCAATTTTTGCTTCGTAATTTGATTGTCGTGTGTAGACGTAATCCAGTATGTTTTATTAAGTCACAATCGATTTGTGCAGGAAATAAATTGTTCATAAAATCAACTTCTTGTTTTTATTTTTATGCGTTTTTGGGGGGTTATAAAGGAATTTGACACCTATGTCAACTTAAAGACTGTCCACCCTCAAGCCTTTATATATTTCAAGTTAAACGTAAAAAAAAAAACGGTGGATTTTCCGTGTTTTTTTTTTTTTTAGTGAATACTTTAACTTTTACCCTCAAATTATATATACATAATTTCAAAGAAACCTAGACCAACTCAACACCGACTTAGCACTAATACCTTTAAAAGTATTCTCACACCGACTTACCCGTGGACATAAAGAGAGTCGTGGGTATTCTTAAACGTATAGAAAAAAAGACCGCTTTGACTCACCACTGAGGTTTATGCTGGAACGATAATAATGTCTTTTACGTACATGGTCTTCAAGTTCTCTCTTTTCTTTCTCTCTCTCGCCATGAGAACCACGTTACTCCCTCTAACCGTTCTTTACCACCATGACTAGATTAATTTTATTGAATAACCAAACAAAAGTAAGTCTTATAAAGTACATTGGCGCCCAACGTGGTGCACATTGGCCCTACATACGTGCGAATATAAAACGCGCAATTAAAGAAGAAAAATACGTCGCCGATGCCCAAGCTCGGACTGCCTTCCTCAGGCCTATGCTGCTCGCGTGCACCCCACGAGATATTTAATTTATTAATTTTATTCCCCACAGTACTTAGTCTCATTTAATTAAACTCACATTCTCACCTTTCTAGATATGTCCCTCAACACACACAAGCACACAAATTAATTGCACACGGTGTAGTAACTACGTGCTGCAAGAGAAGTCACACTGTCAATAAAACAGGCTTCACAACATAAGTTTGTAGCGTTTCACACTGTGGAATCCCAGACCATTGGAATGAATTGTAAACATAAATAATGATGTAGCATCATAAGGTTTGTAACTTCACATCTCTGGAACAAACATTTCACAGAGTAAAACAACGTTATCATTGAAGTTGCGGAATCGCTTGTCTCAACACATGCCCAATGTATATAATTTATTAGTAATTATTAACGCTGTTTTTTTTAAACTGACATATTGCTGTAATAGATCGTCCTTCTAAGTTTTGTCTGGGCAAAAGTCTAATATCGTGCCGGCAGCAAATATCCCGAAGTCAAAAATATTAATTTGCCCTTTGGTTCGAAATAAGCCCCCTTTATAATACTAGAAGTAAGTGGCTTTCTGTGAATTACGCGTGGAAGGGGGCACGTGAGTACTTCTATTCTGAACTAACGTGTAATATGTATGGATTAAGCATGATGACTACTTCTTGACGGCGTGTCATAGTTCCAGCACTGCGCGAAGGAGAGGGTTGGGGTGTGTGTGGGGGGGGGGGGGGGGGGGGGGGGGGGAAGGGAGAGATTTAAGGTATCCAACATTGCCTATCGTTTTTGAGATATTTTGTATATATCACGCCCTTTCATATCATCATGGTTGCGCACCACTGGGAGATAGAATTGTGACAACCCCTGTCAGTGTGTCACAACGTATAGGTAAGATATAAAACTGATCCAAAAGCATTACTATCTATGGCGCCAGAAGTGACTCAGGGATCTGGGTCACTTCTGGATTTTTGCTAGAAATTGTCAAAGATTATTCATTTTTAAAGTTGTACTACATATATATGTTCGAAAGAGCTAATTTACTGAAGTTTAACACGGGGCCACATAGAAGACATTGAAGCTCCCTCCTGATTAGCCTCTACTATTTTCATTTCTTACTTAGTTACCTCGTTGATGACTGTGAAGTAGGTATTATTGGCCACAAACACCTAAAGAAAATCCGGCCATCACCTCTAGGTATCTCATCTGAAACGTTATCGAGTGTTGTATTCCTTCTGCATAGAGCCCTGCACGGATAACGGTTTGATCATTCGCATCCGATCCGCACTCGTAGAGTTAGCATCCGCAACCGAACCGTATCCGCAATATTCTTAAATAATTGTATTCGCATCCTATACACATCCGCAGACTTTGGCCCCACATCCGAACCCCACCTACGAAATTCGGAACCGCATCCGCAAAACTCAGACCGCGTCCGACGCTGAATCCGCGCATTCCTTTTGCATCATAAAATGAAGCATGGATATCAATTTAGAAACTAAAGCAAATGAATGGTATCCTACAAGCCTCCTGTTTACCTTTCTAGTAAGAACTCTTCGTGTCAGAATACGTAAGGTCATCTTATCATATAAGCGGTCATTATTCCAGAGACACTTCGCATCGCTCGAACTATGTTCTCAATTATGAGATCGTCTTGGAAGTCCATGACGCTTACACTCTGCCCGGAAGATGCCCTCAAAGGGAATGAAATTCATATTTATTTTCCTATTTGCTTTGTATAACCCGCTTTAAGCAAACTCACATTTTATAAACATGAAAATGACAAAGGACGGACTAATAACATTTATGTCATTTTATTTAGGCCAGACAATAAAAAAGTGGGAGAGGAAAGGCTCTCATTTGCTTAGCAAAACACTCTCTATGTGGTATGGCGCGAGTGCACCACTGGGGAAATATTACAATATTTAAAAATGGCAACACCTCCTATCGGTAACAGTTTTAAACACGAACACCCAAGTGCACGCTCGGAACCATATACTCAAGAACAACTCACTGCCAACTACCGAGAAGAAGAAAACGCGCACGCACGCGAAGTTTGACTTGTTGAGATTGCTGTATAAAAGAAACATAATATCGTCAATACGGACTAATTCAGACTAGTTCGCCTCTCTTAAATCAATAGCAGCTAACCAAAAGTGTATCTCCGTTGGGGCACTTGATGCTGAGATGTCATGCACAAACCGCGCTACTAGAATGAGGTCCGGAAACATGTTCGAGAGCAAGTTCCACCACTCCGGAGGATCGAATTCAGTCTCCTCACTATATACATGTAGGCGAAGAAGTCACTTGCAAGCTTCTTCTAATTTTTTTTTATGGCTTGTAGGCTTTGGGATTTCTTTTCCCGAAAAACCCTTTCGACGCATTCCCTGCCAATAAAAACACGATTTCCCGAGGCGACTGGTGCTTCTACGTTCTTTTGTTTTTCTAGGGACTACGTTTTTTTAGAGATAGAACGTTCTAAAGTGATCTTTGGTGAGAAGAAAACCTTTATTGACGTATAGAACAATTTTCTCACCGATTGGCACCCTTTATCTAAGAGGGTAGTTTTCCCCCGAATACATTCGATGATACACTTCAAATTATTACTGACTTATGCACTCTTCACTGTGCGGACGCTCACGTTTATAATCCGCCTCGCCACAAATAGAGCCGGACCCGCAGATATCCGCAGCCCCTGGCATCCACATCCTATCCGAAATCCGCCAAGTCTTATTCATTTTTATCGATATCCGCCAGTTTACTGCGGATATCCATGGATAATCCGCGAATATGCAGGCCTCTACTTATGTAGAACATTCTTCCATATTAACGAAGGTGTCGAAATCTGCGACAATCATTAGGAATCACATATCTTATTGAGAACATTCAGAAGCGTTCAGAATCTTTTGTGTTCTGAACAGTGAAGATGATCTTAGGGCATGTTAGTGAGTTAAAATTATTTTAACAGATAAGCTGACAATACCTTCAAAATTGCATTTATCAGGTAGCTTTAAAAGTCAAATCGAATAAAGTATTACATGTTTACGTTGTTGTAATAGAGGTGTTGATAATTTGCGGCATAATAATCAGTTCAATACTAGTATCTGCGACACCACTCTCAAACTTGATATAATTTTTTTGTCTATAAAGCTGTGGGTGTTCCAAGGTAACGTTAAGCAAACGATTTAATATAACCCTTTAACAATTTAGATGCAGTCACTGTTTCTACATCTTTTATTAAACATGTTCTAAACCGGAAAGATTTCTACGATTTATTTATTGCTCTCTAGCTTCATATTTAATATGTGTTTGTTCGCATGCGGCATATCTTGCTCTTATCTTCAGAGTTTCTGACAACGACCACTTTGGAGAAAATGTCCTCCTACGACGATTTCGATCCGGAGTGGCCATAACACCGACGGTCATCACAAAATAGCAACGACGACTTCCTCCCCCCCCCCCCCCTTCCTTTTTGCCCCGTCTGTAGAACCCTAGCAGCACCCCAATCTTCACCATTCCTGTGGTAGCGCAAAGCTGTGGCCCAGTTTCGAACCAAAGCCCTCTTACGCCTTCCAACAATTAAAGCTGCCGATTCGATTGCAGCCCGTTACATTCCAAAGAACCCCCGCCAGATCAGTCCATGTCATAGACATAGTTGAACCTCTTATGCCTGGACGTCATGAACATATATTTTAAGCTCGTATGCCCGGAGGTCGTGGACATAGTTTAGCCTCTTATGCCCGGAGGTCATGGATATAGTTTATCCGCTTAATCCCTGAAGTCATGAACATAGCCCAACTCAGGCACGTAGCCAGGATTTTGTTTCGGGGGGCGGGGGGGGGGGGGGCGCTTATGATAAAATTTTGTATGAGGGGGAGGGGGAGAGGAGGTCCCTGCAAAATAAGAGATTTCGGTGGGGGGGCCTAGGCCCCATGGGACCCCCCCTGGCTACGTGCCTGGTCCTACCACCTATGTCAGGAAGTCGGGGACATAGTCCAACCTCATTTGTGAGGAAGTCATGCACATAATTC